TGGAAAAATATTTTGATAGATAAGGTTTCACAGCAAATAAGCACATGAAATGATGCTCAATAACATCACATTAGGAATACTGATGCCATTTACAAACCAGATCAATTAAAGCCACAATGAAATGCCACTACACACCTATAAGATGCCTAAAATGAAGAGTGCTCACCACGCTAAGAATGGACAAGGACTGGAGCCCCTGGAATCTCACACACTTATGCTGAGAATGTCAAATGGTTTGACCATTTTGGCAGTCTCTTAAAAAATTAAATGTAAACCTTTCACATGATCTAGCCATTCCTCTCCTAAGAATTTACTCAAGAAAAATGAAAGCATTTATCTATATAACTTGTGCACCAATGTTCACAGCAGCTTTGTTTATAATGTACTTTGGGAACAACCCAAAGAGGCCCACACAGGAGAACAGATGAGCCCACGGTGATGCAGCCATAGCAGGGGCTACTCAGAAAAAAAGCAGAGCTAACTTCTGTTGCAGGAACCACATGAAATGCACCTGGACATAATTAGGGTTACTGAAAACGCCCAACACAGACAAACCAAATGTAACAGAATTCTACAAAATGAGAGCCATCTATGACAGAAAGCAGGGCAGCAGCTGCCTGGGGATGGGACCATGACGAGAGGGGCAGGGAAGGCACTATGCAAGAACGCTTCCTCCAGGGCTGTAGTGTTGGACTCCTGCTGCCCACGCCCATCAACACGCATCAGATTACAGACTTGAACTGTGTTAATATTAACACAATAATATATTCTGTGTCACGACAACCTAACCAGTGAGGCTACGACTGAGCATATTTCTTTGTGTTTTATATGTTTTCTTGTGTTTTGTATTTCTTTCCTAAATTCCTCACTGATATGCTTGGAATTATTAGTAGACATTAAATTCATTTACAAGGGCCTGCTATAATTAAGAATATAGATTTTGTGGTCAATGTTGTAATTAGATTTTCTAAGTCATTTGTCTTGACTATTGTAATGTTGACTTTCACTGGGAAACAGTTTTCCATTTTATGTAGTTAAACCTTTCATCACCTTCCTTCATAGTTTTCATCCTTGGTGTCATGTTAAAAGTCAGAAACCCTGGGATTATAAAAATATTGCATTTTTTTCTAGTAATTATGCTTTTAATCATTCATATTTATCCTACCTGAATTTAATCTATCTGAATTTTTCTTCTGAGCTAAAGTCTTTAATTTAAATTTTCTCCAAATGGTTTGTGCCTGAAACAATTTACCCCAAAGCATTTGTTGAATAATCAGACACTTGACGTATTTCTGTAGTGAACCTACTAAAGACCTGTGAACACCGGCAATTTTAGTCACTTTATTCCACTCCATGGATGTTTCTTTCTGTTCCTATACCACACTGTATATACACTATAGCTTTGTAATATATTTTGATACCTGTTTGGCAAATTTTCCTTTTTCTTTTTCCAAAAGAAAAAAATTGAAGGGAAAAAAACCAAACTTCCTGGAAATTTTGAAATGTTAACTATATCCAGAATTAAGAAAATTAACAGAAATTACATACTAGTTAGGTATTAATAACATTGAAAATAAACTATATATGTAAAAACCTGTGATAGTAACTACAGTTACATGCAGAGGATAACTTAGTTGGAAATGCTTATTAAACAATGACACAACAAATTCTATACATATTCAATTCATGAAACATTAAACCAAAAGAAGATATTAAATATAAAATAGTAATTTATGGCCAGGCACAGTGGCTCACACCTGTAACCTGGGGAGGCCAAGGCGAGCGGATCACCTGAGGTCAGGAGTTCGAGACTAGTCTGGCCAGTATGGTGAAACCCCATCTCTACCAAAAATGCAAAAATTAGCCAGGCGTGGTGACACGTACCTGTAGTCCCAGCTACTTGGGAGTCTGAGGCAGAAGAAACACTTAAACCGGGAAGGTAGAGGTTGCAGTGAGCCGAGATCACGCTACTGCACTCCAGCCTGGGCAACAAGAGCCAAACACCGTCTCAGGGAAAAAAAAAAAAAAAGTAATTTATGAATAAAGCAAAAGAAAACAAAATGTATCTATAGTAAAATAAGTAACACCCACCCCCAAAAAAAGATAATTCTTGAAAGACATAAACAAAATTTGGTAAATGTGACCAGCAAGGGAAAAGAGAGCCATGAATAGAAAATATTAAGGAATATAACTCAAAAATGAATATTTGAAAAATTATCAAGGAACCTATGTAAAAATGAATGCCAACAAATTTGAAAACCTAAATGAAAATGCATACATTACCTCAGAATCAGGATATCTGAATGGTGCGGTAACCATAGTAGAAAGTGGAAACATTCTTTATAACCTGCCCACCAAAGATGCCGACCAGTTCATATGCTGCTAAAACTACAAGTCATTAGTACAAACACTTGTCCAAGACAGTGATTTTTCTGACAATTGGCAAAATTTTAAGAATCACATCATGAGCTCATCTGACCCGCCATTCTTCCTTTCTTTCCACCAAGTCACATTCCAACAGACCCTTGCACAGTCCAGTCCAGGTTCACCAAATACAGAAAGAACCTGGCCCCACCTACCATTTACACACTGAATTTGCATTCTTTTGATCATTATTTCCACACCAAAGAATATGGCAGACCTCAGAGGTATCATGGGTCTGGCTGCAGACCACAAGAAAGAAAGTATCACAATAAAATGAGTCACACGAATTTTTGGGTTTCCAAGTGCATCCAAAAGTTATATTTACACTATAGTCTATTAAGTGTGCAACAGACAATGCCTAAAAAACCAAAGTGCATAAACAATACTTTATTGCTAAAGTATGCTACTGAGCATCTGAGCCTTCAGCAAGTTGTCATCTTTTTGCTGGTGGAAGGTCTTGCCTAGATGCAGATACCTCCTGGCTGATCAGGGTGGTGGTTGCTGAAGGTTAGAGTGGCAGTGGCAGTCTTTAAAAAAAGACAACAATGAAGTTTGCCACATCAATCCACTCTTCTTTTTACAAAAGATTTCTCTGTAGCATGTGATACTGTTGGATAGCATTTTACCCACACTGAACTTCTTTCAACATTGGAGACAATCCTCTCAAACCCTGCCACTGCTTTACCAACTGCGTTTATGGAATATTCTAAATCCTTTGTTGTCATTTCAGCAACGTTCACAGCATCTTCACCGTGAGTGGATTCCATCTCAAGAAACCACTTTCTTTGCTCATCCATAAGCAAAGATGATGGACAGATGAACGTTGCAACTAGATGGCTACATGAATGAGCAACTCCTCATCCATTTAAGTGGCATCGTAAGATTGCAGTAGTTCAGTCACATCTTCAGGCTCCGCTTCTAATTCTCCTTCTCTTACTAGTCCCACGACATCTGCAGTTCCTTCCTCCACTGATGTCTCGACCCTCGAAGTCATCCATGAGGATTAGAATCATCTTCTTCCAAACTCCTATTTATGCTGACATTTTTACCTCCTCCCATGAATCGTGTTCATGATGGCATCTAGAATGGTGAATCCTTTCCAGAAGGTTTTCAGTTTACTTTTCCAAGATCCTTCAGAGGAAGCACTATTTATGGCAGCTATAGCCTTACCAACTGTATTTCCTAAATCATAACACTTGAAAGTTGAAATTACTCCTTGATCCTGTGGAACGGATGTTGTGTTAGCAGGCAGGAAAACAACATGCACCTCCTGGTACATCTCCAGCAGAGCTCGTGGGCAACCAGGTACACCATCAATGAGCAGTAACATTTTGAAAATAACCTTTTTTTCTGAGCAATCAATCTCGGGGCGGGGGTGTGGTTAAAATATTCAGTAAACCAGGCTGTAAATAGATGTGTTGTCATCCAGGCTTTGTTGTTCCATTTAGAGAGCACAGGCAGAGATTCAGCATCCCTCTTCAGCGCCCTAGGATTTCCAGAAGGGCCAGTGAGCATGGCCTTAACTGAGCATCACCAGCTGCATTAATTGGCCCCTAGCAAGACAATCAGCCTCTCCATTGAAGGTAAGACACTGACTTCTCTCTAGCTATGAAAGTCCTAGATGGCATCTTCTTCCCACAGAAGACCCCTTCGTCTACAATGAAAACGTGCCAGTCTGGCCACGTTCATCAATTAGCTCAGCTAGGTCTTCTGGACGACTTGCTGCAGCTTCTCCATCAGCTCCTGCTGCTTCGCCTTGCAGTTGTGTTATGGAGACAGCTTCTTTCCTTCAACCTCATCCATCCACCTCTGCTAGCCTCCAGCTTTTCTTCTGCGGCTTCCTCACCTCTCTCAGCCTTCACCGAATTGAAGTGAGGGCCTTGCTCTGGATTAGGCTTTCGCTTAAGTGAATGTTGTGCTGGTTTGATCTCCTAGCCAGACCACTACGACTTTCTCCGTATCAGTAATAAGACTGTTTTGCTTTCCTGTCTTTCTATGTTCACTGGAATATCACTTTTCATTTCCTTCAAGAACTTCTCCTTCGCATTCACATGACCAACTGTTTGGCAGAAGAGGCCTTTCAACCTATGTTGGCTTTCAACACGCCTTCCTCGCTGAGCTTAGTCATTTCTAGCTTTTGACTTAGAGTGGGATACGTGTGACTCTACCTTTTACTTGAACACTTAGAGGCCACCGTAGGGTTAACTGGCCTAATTTCAATATTGCTGTGTCTAGGAATAGAGAGGGCTGAGACGAGGCAGAGAGGCTGGGGAATGGCCACGCAGTGGGGCGCTCGGAACACACGCATCGTTTGTGGATGAAGGCTGCCCCTTACATATGCCGCAGCTGCACCACACATCTCTTCCACACAGGCCACGTTAACAAGATTCAAGTATGCCTATGGCTATTTGGTAAAAGTACTCTTTTCCTTCAACGAAGCTATGTCCTTCTGTCCTACATTTTAATGTCTGGAGGCACATTTTTCCAGAGGTACTTGAGAATCATGATGCCATGAACACTGCAGTTGACAACCAGGCAAGAAAGGCAAGAATATTCCCCTCTCCAGTCGAGCCTACCCATGCAGCAGGATATGAGGGCTGCCAACCCTTCTAACCAAGGGTATCTGTGTCTTCGGCCACAGTCACTGAACTTCCTGGTGGGCGAGAGGTGTCCTCGTGGACGGAGCCAGGTGGCCTGCTTGAGCTGCCCAGGACCCTAAGGATACAGCATCACTAATCTTTACAATAAGCATGACACGTAAGAACAGTTAGCATTTTCTGGATAAAGACACGACCCTCCCAGAGCTTGGTGCGGTCGCCCACACCGTGGGTTCTCCTTTTCGCACAAGCCCAGTGTGGAGCCCCCAAGTCATCCATGCTTGCCTGATGCTGGGTTTTGGAACCCCGGCTCCCTAACTAGCCCAGCTGTGCATCCACAATGACAGGGAGTGGGTCCCACGCAGCTCCTCAGAGGCCTCACCCCATCCCAGCTCCCACCCTCAGACCCGCAGGCACCCCCCAGGGCCACACCCCCCAGAAGCTCTCCAAAGTCCACAAATCTGACCTAAATCCTGGTGACTCCTACACTCCAATGGAGTCGTAATCCCTAAAATCGAGGGCGGGCTTTGCTAGGGTGCTTTTTACCGAGGATTAATCCCTGGAACAACTCTCTGAAATTAAATTAAATTAAATTAAATTAAATTAAATTAAATTAAATTAAATTAAATTAAAATAAAATAAAATAAAATCTGGCTGCATGGTCAATAACCTGGGCACATCTCTCTCGGAGATACACAATACGCCATACTTTCTAGAAAACCTTGCAGTAGAAAAACCTGTTTCAAATTTCTGATTTTATGAAGTTTAAAACTAAAATAACATTGAATTTCCAGCCTTCGCCATGGATTCGTTTCTGCATGGCCAAGATTCCTGACAGCCCCTTCAGTTTTAAATGGAATTCACACCTAAAGGAGTCAGAGGTGTGAAGCTCCTGAGGCCTGAGTGGTGGCACTGCCTTCGCTTCTACACCGAAAGTCATGCAAAGTCTAATTTCCTGGTTTCGTTTATTAAATAATTCATATGCTGTAGTATATTAAATCAAATCCTATCAACCCTCAAATCCAGCAAGTAAACTGTCCCTTCCTTAACTATTCAAGAAATAACGAATGCATCTGAAAGATAATTGCTTTTAATTTTCTAAATTTTCACTTATGCAACATAAAGGCAGATTTATGTGACCTGATAATGACACTTTTACAAAAAACAATCCCCCCCACCCCAACATCTTAGTCAGTAGTATATAAATATTTACAATGAAAAAATAGGCAAGGAAAAAGGAAATCTTCATTATCCATGTCGATTTCTTTCCAATGCTTATCAGGGACTTTGAAAATAAAATACTCCATTAACTTTTTCTCATCATTCCTATGTACACGCTGCTTTAGCTGACGCATTCACGGTATTTGGGTTGCACTGTGTAACAGTATTTTTGTTCTCTATCACTCCTACTTTTTTCTATACTATTTTAAAAATCTGAAATAGTAAATTAAATATAAAAATGTAAACTCTGGAAGGAGAGAAAATAAGAATAAATATGTGTAAAGGTAATGCATTAAGATACAAAGGATCTCACAGAGGCTAATATTTTACAACACTCAAAAAAAATAAAATGCTCTATATATGTTCTTAGTTGGGACATTTTGTTTCAATTTAATTTTTGGTTATGTTAACAAAAATTACCTCTAAAGAGGATGTTAAAAAAATAGTAATGACGTTACCATCTTAACTAATGAATATGCTATCACCCTAATTTTTACCACAGAGAGCAGAGAGAGACTTCCTGCTGTTACAGAAAAGAATCTTCTTTGTAAATCATTAACCATTCAGCATTTAGACCTGTAATTTGACAAAACTGGGATTCACGGTGATTAAAACTTACTTTTTAAAAATAGTATCTAACTCCCTCAGGAAAATGTGGACCATGGAACAAAGAACATCGTTGCTCCGTCTCTCCAGAAATAAGCACAGACACAATCTTCACAATTCCACGCTTGCTACCCTTGTAGCCACACAAAGGATTTGTCCCTGCCTGATGTCAGTGAGTTGGATATGAGACCTAAACACAGATAGGTGCCCATTTTTAAGAAC